TGTCACGGACATCTCCTTTAGACAGCTTATTTCTCCTCCCCCTCCCCTGTCCCCTGCTGTGCACTCTCCACACCGCACTCCCACCTCCAGCTTTCTGTCAACAAAGTCCTAGAAGCAAATATGGAATAATCAACACACACCCACAACTCTGGAGTGTGTTTCACCGTGGGCAATGTTGTAGCCCCATTTACTCCTACCCCTCTGAAACAGTGCCGAGATCGGTCCGAGCATGGTAACCGAAATCACTGTTGAGTGTAAATGGCACGCACAACCGAACCGGACCGTGCCAGACACAACCGAACCACGCTAAACTGGTATTAGTTCATCAGTAGGTCTCGGTTCAGTTCTGCCTGGATTCTTAGATAACAAAGAGCGTGTGAGCAAACCGCCTCTTCTACTTACAGTAAGCCTCCATAATCATAAAATTTCAGACATTTATACAAAATACTAGCAAATTCAACAAAGGCTGCCTTCTCCGCAACCTTCCTGAATGTTCTAGGTGCCGTCATTTTGATTTGCTTGTTTACCTATAGAGAGCAGTAGTACCATAGATTGTCATTAGGAGGTGAGGAACCATGCTAGCGTGGTGTGTAAATGGTCGTAAGAAAACAAACTCGGCACGGTTAACTGATCGAAGCTCGGTCCAAACTCGGCACAAATCGGTTTTCAGAGGGTAGTGTAGATGGGGCTTTAGTCTTACCTCTACAACAACGAAAGGACAGTTTCCACCAGACAGTGCATAGCGTTTTTTGTCGAATGTGGTCACCTGCAGTGCTCCCATCAGAGTGCATTGGCCTGCGCATCTCTCACCTGTACATTCCCACCGACCTGCCCTGCACACACTGGGTCAATAGGGACAAATGATGAACACCATGAAGGGGAATTAGAAAGATCAAATATCTGACAAAGACTGTTAAGGATGGTTTTGGAGATTTAAGCTCACCAGGTGTTGCATTTTATCTGGATCGTGTCCCCGGGTTGGTAGCTACGTCTGCGATGGAAACAGGGACAGTCTTCTCTTTTCAAGCAGTGTCCCTGGTGAAGGTAGAGACCAGGAGGACACTCACAGCCCCCCACACACTCCTCTCTGCACTGACCCATGGCCGCAGCAGGTCCTGGAAGCTGGGGGGAAGTACAGCTTGGAGGACAGGAGGACACACAGTCAGAAAAGACCTGTCCTCTGGGGCAGACGCGACCTGGTAAGACAGATAAGGTTTTGAGGAAACAAAGAACCAAACATAGAGTCTGGGATGCAATAACGATAACATTTATAAACTGTTGTATTTCTTTACCACATAATGCTGCTGTCCTCCACATTATGATGATGTGTTGCTGAGCACACTCCCTGGTGTAGCTGGCCAGGGTGTCACACACTGCATCCTGCCTCTCTTTGGGTGAGAGGCTACAGTACAGATAATGACAGGTGTCTATGTATGGGACTGGGTCAACCTACATTGGAGACGGACACAACCTTTGATCATTTATCTTGAAATGACCAGTATTGTAATAAAGCTCATTTAAGCCCAATGTTATTGATTCCTCTGCCTCGTTAAGGAGCAAAGAAATGTCTTAATTGAAAATCTTTTTTTTCTGGATGTACCTTGTAATTACTATAACACTGGGCTTACACCTAACGCTGTGGAGCTGCGGGAGAAGAAAGTCACACGTACAGAATTCTAGTCGGTGTTGCGCAAAACCAGTCATTGCTGCATGTAAACATTCCTTTTCATTGCTTAATACCCCTCTATTTCTGTTTTGACTTTCTGCAATTTAGGTTAGCATACAGTAGCTGCCATTCAAAATTTCCCTTCCCAGTCAAACGGCAGCCCACTTCCCTATGTCTCCCAGCAAAAATCCCCTCCAACTTCCAGCCACTGGCCTTCTCCTTGGCGTGCATATTTTTGTACTCTGACGCCACCCTTTCACTGAATTACAGGGTCTCATTAGGAGATGACGCTTCTCTTTAGATCTTAATGTCCACAAATCTTGACAGAAAGAATATTGTAGTACAAAGATGGATGCTTAAAAAAGGAATTGTAGCAGACCAGCCGAGAGGCCATCAAGGAAAATGGGGAAATTTTGAATGGCTACTACTGTAGGTTGATTTCTACCTGGACTTTTTCCTGCCTGGCACCCAAGTTTAGAGGATGCTATTTGTGGACCTAAATCCAGAGGTGATTTCTTGTTGATTTAATGTAGAGGTAGATGTTAACAGAAGCAGAAATCCAGAAATATTATAGAAGGAACTCAGGGTTCAAAACTAGGAGACGCGAGGGAAAAACATACATGAGGAGTGAAGATATGGGAGAGAAAAATTGCTGAGTTTGAATGCATCCCCCAAAGGCCAGATTCGTCATAGCGCGGCGTTGTGGTCTGTTCGGATTGGAAGACTCCTCATTATTTGCCTCTTTTGAAGAACAGTTCCAATGTATCCTACTAAGCTTTGAGTATCCCATCATTCATTGCGAGCAGCTGCTGTTATTGGTGTTAGTGGTGAATGTTGTATAAGTATGTGAATAGTTCCATCTGATATTAATTAAAATAATTATTTTAAATGGTTGTTGAGTCAGATATGTGGCGCGTGATGTTTGGTTTGAGAGGGTATTGAAAGGTATTATTTGTCCCTGTGCAATTGGGTTTGGATGACATTTTAGCTCAGATTCTAATTAGTGTTGCACCGATACCGATACCAGTATCGGACGGGGCCCCGATACTGCCCTAAAATGGTGGTATCGGTATCGGCGAGTACCAACAAATAGGGCACCGATACCATTTTGA